TCTTAGCTGGACCGAACACTGACAGCTCTGTGAATATTGTATTAGCACGATAGCTTCTGTCTGTTAAGCCAGAAGGTATGTGCCACTTGATACTGTTGCTTGACTCAGGAGATACTACGTGCAGAGGCCTTTTGGTTTCTCTAAGACTGGATCTGGCAGAATATTATTTCAGTATAAAGATTTCATCAGAAATATAAGAAAAAGATGAATGATCCTGTTTATTCTTGGCTTGTTGGCTTTTGGTTTTTGTTATTCCATGGACCATAAGATAACAGTTAAGAAAAATTTCAGAACACAATCTTGCATTCTATATACTGCTGCAGATATGGCAAGAACTAATACGAGAGAGGGCCGGACTTTTTGTGTTAAATCTTTCTGCTTCATGCGTTATTCTTCTCCCTTCATGAAATCCTACCTTCAGCCCTCCCAGTCTTTCTGTTTTAATAAAAAGCTGAACTATGAATTTAAAACTTACAGGAAAAATGTGACCCGATGTATCTTTGCATCCCAAATGAAGCAGGAGCCTGTTTCTCTTGGCCTATGTTTTCTAATTGCCAGTTCACAATATGTTGTTACATTATCAGTAGAAATGTCAACAGGAAGCCAAGGAATCACTAGTTAATGCACTGAGCGGCACAATTAGTCTTCAAATAAATCAGGATGGCTACTCAGTCTTTTATATTCAGCATGCATTGCAACAGTTGATGTGCAACAAAATCATCTGCTAAGACCTGCATAAAAATACAGCAATAAAAGAGATATCAATCTTCATAAATGCAGACCAAAACGGAAGGAAATTAGGACCATATGGGGAGCACCAGTGACAAAAATGAGCCATTTATTCCCAAGTCCAAAGATAAATTTATGACTCTCTGTATGAACTGGTTTTCCTGGATGCAAGCATAATGAAATAGAACCTGTATTTTAAGTGCTCAGTATTGCACCTGGCCACCTGAAAGACATTTCTGAGGTTCTGGAAAAAGCCTGTAGGAATCTGAAAAAGGGCAAAAAATGCACGCAGAGAATCTCAATAACAAAACAATTAAAAAGCAATACATTTAAAAATAATTGAGAAAGTAGTTAGACAAAGAAATAGTCCCAATGCCCATTTCCTGGGAGTGTGCACTGCGCAAGGAAATAGAAGGTCCTTATTCTAAGCACACCTGTGGTAAAATCCCTAATTATAATCATTCAGATCAAAGTTAATTAAAAGCACATCTTTAATATAGCAGTACGCTTTTCCCTACATACATTCATCTGGGACCAACTCTCTTCTGCCCTCTCTGTTATTTAACTTAAATAGAAACAAGTAGCTGCAAATGTACTTCCCATTTTCTTTTATCTGCTGAACGGTACTGTGTGTTCTAAGAGCACACACACGTGTGTGTGAGAGAGAGAGAACAAAATAGTGTCTCACTCTCTAATGCTGTAGAAAGTTAAAAGGATGACTGAAAATGCATATGCTTCTTGGGAACTGCCTTTCGTATTGCTCTCTTTGGTTCCCACTGTCCACCACCAAACAGGTCAGCTCTTCCGGGAAGTGTCAACATCCCTGTTGATTGTTAGTCTCCTAAAATGACTTTCTCTGTAAAGTGCTGGTCTGGCATTCCACTCACAAACAGGTACCAGGTTCCCCAAGCTATGTGGAATGTGATCTGATTTACCCAGGACATAACTTAAGGAACTAGGATAGGGGAGGAAGGCGTAAATGCAGCCATGCAGTTGAAGTCAAATGATCAAAGTGGTGTTTAAAATGCCCAGAAAGTTAAAACTGCATTTTTCTTATAAGAAGGAGTTTTGATAGCATTGCTTACCTGCGTGGAGAGCACTGATGGGCTCTCATGATATTTAGGTAATTAACTGTGGCATTATGAAGGAAAATAGAGAGAACTTTTCTTGGATTTTTTTTTTTTTTTTTTTTTTTTCCCAGAAGTAGCTCAAGAGTTTCTCTATGGTAGAAAAATTGGTGGACATTGCAAGGCCTTTGCTAGGTCTTGCAAAATATGTGAGTTTGGAGCATACTCCCAGCCCAGCCTCTTTTCTGTATGTGATTTCCACTGCCAAGTACTGTATGTTTTGTTGTTGTTGTTGTTTTCAATTAAATTTATTTCCTGAGCATTCCCATGTCTCTCTCCTAAACAAGCCCATAGCAGATTATTGCTAACAGGCTTAATGTTTTGCCTAGCTAGAGGCTTCCCAAATCAGAGTTTCCCAATATGCAGTTCAAAAATAAACCAGCCCCCACACTGTTGCGATTGCCCATGTTTCTGCTTCACAGAAATCAGATTAGTAATGAAATGCATCCTCTTTCTGCTCCTTGCCCCCAAAAAGTCAGTTACATTGTGCTAACAACTGCAATAGGACAAATCAGTCCTGAAGCTTATAGTTGAGGTATTAGCAAGAACTTTTGAAAAGACTAAAAGAGAAATGTTTGAACTCCTTTGTCTTCAAAATATTTGTCTAGCTTGCTTGCAGTGTGCCAAAATAATTGTGCCCCGTGAGGAGATGTGTCAGTTGGAATTTGAGGTAGGTAGTAAGCTGATTTCCAGGCCAGCTTGAACAATAACTGAACAGGACAAACATTTCCTCCCTGTGTGGCTTTTTGAGCACTATAACAAAGTGGCATTGCAGTGTTTCATATTGCAGGTCTGAAAGTTTGTGCAGAGCAGGAACAAGAACATTGTAAGAAGGCAACATATATCTAAACAAAGGTTTTAATATGGATCAAACAGAATAACCAAAAAACGACAACTACAACAACAAACATTTAGCTATGTTCTTTATAAAATGTTTCTAGGAGTTTAGTGTGTTATCTTTCTGCTCATCAGTGTAGAGGAATGCGGAATTCACAATTATTTGCTACCACAGTGGATGATACCTGTTTTTACTGAGTAGGGTGTTTAGAGTTGAAAACAACTGTTTCTTTTAAATGAATAAACATTTAAAAATTTTAGTATGTGTTTTTACAAACATTTCAACTAATTAAAAATGGTAATATGCTATTAAATTATCAAATGAGATAAACTCAGGCTGTAGCAAATTCCTGTTCTATTCTAATTTCAGAAAACCTAAATTTACCTATTCTGGCCTTGGAAAGAGGATAAAACTAAACTATGACTAAAACTAAAATCTCAACCCCTACTAATTTTTAATATTCTATCCAGAATTTCATTAATCCATTTTGAGATTAAAGTTGGAGACAACTGATTGTGGCAGTAAATACTTAATTGTCTTTCATTTCAAGACATATTTGTATTAATCTGTTTCTTTAAAAGCTTTATTTTTGTAAAATTATATTTTTCAAGCCAAGAATGAACGTGAGAAGGCTTGGGTCTCCAAGCTGGTATTCTCACGTAATAAACCATTTTATGTAAGTGTTGTTGAACTCATCACCTTCCTTTTCACCTGAGCATTATTACTATTAGTAAGATAAATAAATGGAAATTGCGTAGTTTAGTGCTATGCATGAAATTCCTCTTGGCAAGCACTGACTGCTCTGTGTGCATGTGTGTGTTTGTGTGTTAAAGAATTAGATCTTGCTTTATTTAACAAACAGTCCAGTGCTTGCCAACCTACTTAGCGAGTGCTTAGCATATTTAAGTTCTTAAAGTTAAATATATGCATAAGCATTTTCCTTACTTGGAGCTTAAATCACAGGTTTTCCATGTTTATGATAATTATTGTAAAGTTGCTTAAAGGCTTGGCATAATAGAAGGTTACTTGGCACTTTTTATGCGTGACAAGCTCTTCCTGGGTAACTCTGATTAAGTACGTAAAGGATATTTCATTACTACAGAATAACTACATGACAGAAGTAGTTATGATGACACTTACATGTGTACACAGCAAAATGGTGAATATTTGCAGCGTCCTGATTCCTGCACTGTGTAAGGAAAAAAACAACACAAGGGATGAATAAAAAGTGAAAAGTGTAGCAGAGTAAAAAATATTTTTTTCCAGTTTCCTACTACATCATGAACTGTTGAGTCCAGATCACACAAGATCTGATTGAAAACTCTATTTTCTCTTCTCTTAAAATAAATGAAAATGATACTGCTGAGATTTTATTTATTTATTTATTTATTTTCAGCTGAACCCTAGTTCTGTCTTAAATGTAAAAAGCACCAGGTAGTTTGGGAAGAATTTTTGTAGTTTGTCAAATTGATGTTTCCTGTATTCCCATAGATGCTTCCCATTATGGAACTAACAATTCTTACTGTTTCAAATTTATATCTTCTGTTTGCCACAGTGTTTACCAATTATAGGGTTATCATAGCTTTTAAATCATGTAAAATTACAGATTCCTTGAACAAAAGGGATTTAATATATGTAATGCATTAGATTAGTGTGAAAAGCAGCAGAGCCAAGACTTCTGGGAGCAGAGATGACTGCACACAGGCTACAGCAATGTCAGAAAATTTGGGTTTGGACAAAGTATTCTTTTGAATGTAAGATAAGCTGTCCTTACTGGTTTGGATTTATTACCATTGAAAAATGAAAACAGGAAAAAAAACACACATGCACAAAAAAAAAAAAAAACAAACAGCCTACTATTGCTCAATCAACAGACTTACTTTTTTTCCTCCCTCTCTAAGGAGATGCTATATACAGTTATGTTTTATGGTCTGGATATTTTTTGTACACTTCTTGTTTATTCCTACTGAGTTAATGTATTGCTTTATTATATGCAGAAAGATGCATTAATGGCCACTAATTTAGTGGTCATTAAAGTATTATTTTAATACTTTAAACAGAACAACTGTTTTTTTTTTAGGATTGTCTTTTTTTCCAGCTCCCTTGCATGGACTGTGAAATAAGAAAAAGATGGTGTGCAATCCTGAGCACAACAAGAAAATTACCAACACTTTAATAAACTAGAAGTGTGTATGAAATAATTAATTTTCATGAAAATTGACAAGAACAGTGCAACGGAACATTGGATCAAACTTGTCTTGAACTGAAACCCAGTCTTGTACATTTTGTTTCTTTTCTTGGTGCAGGAGAACAATAAAGAAGATGAGGAGAGAGACAGATCTGCATTATTAAGGTAGGATGAAAGCACCTGTTGTTTAATGGCTCCGTGGAAACTTTTGATATCTCATTACCAATCCATATAATATATGTCTATAATGTAATGACAGTTGGTTTACTGGAGCAGTAACCTCCCCCCAAAATGAAAATTCTCAAATGTTAATGGTAATGTATATGAATTGTATATGAACTACACACAGATTAATCTAGCAAGCTAAAGTCACTCGCTGAGGCCAGACATGTATTCTACATTCTTGGGTGCTTTGACTTAATTTCTTTAATTATTTGGTATTTCTCTAATTTTGTATTCTGCTTGTACACGGGTATATCTCTGTATGAGCCTATATCACGGGTCACATGTTGGGGTTTCCTAAAAATGCAAGGATGAACTGCCTGGTTTCACAGAGTGTTTCAGGGCTTTTCACTGGTGTGGTATTGCATCAAGAGGCTGAGATGTGTTCAGAATAAATATATAAATAACTGTGTGCACTTACCCCTGGGAAGGGGAGGATGTTGGCAGTAAAATCAGCATCTTGATAGCTTACTTTGGGAGCAGAGTGGGGTGGCCAATGACTGTACCTTATGCAGATGGTTAAATTTAGTGGAGGGAGGAAAACTGATGCATAAACAAAGCTGAAATCCTTTGCTGCATTTGTCAGAAGGATTTGGCTTTTACTAGACTTAAGTTTATGTAAGCAAGCAGTATTTTGTTATGCCCCAAGACTAAATTTGCTTGCATCATTTCTCCAGCATATGACTTGGGGGATGTCTGACCACAGGACCATAGCTTAGCCAAAAAAATTCTTAAGGGAATATTTTTTACCCATAAGGCTTAAAAATATAGTAATGCCTTCACACCCTTTTTTTGCATTTTGCAATAGCTATACTTGGACTAACCTAACAATCACTGGAAAATCATGGTATATCTTTCAGATTTTGTGGGTTTTGTTCTGAGATTCCACTGAAACACTGCAGTGGATGCCAAGTTATTTGTGCTCTGCAGTGAAAAAACAGAGGTAAAGTTGTTATAGCTCAGAGCAACTTCAAGTATTTCCCAGATATTTTGGAACACCAGACACTGCTACTTAATCCCACTTAAAATTCTGCTTGCTTTGCCAGAAATGCAGAACATTAATAAACTGCATTAGTTAGGAAATAGCTTTCTGAGTGAAGTAGGGAAGATAATTCAAGGTTTTAGACAAAGCTATTGAAGCAGAGACAAGCTGGCATTTCCCAAAAGCTAATCAAATACTCATAGAGCAATAGGAGACTGTAATATATCATTTGGGAGACAAAAGTTATGGGAGAAGATTTCAAAGGCTACTATCTCTATTTGCCAGCAGGTAGTACCTCCTGGTGTTGAGCCTTTAGCATTATAGAAATTGCCAAACACTGCTTGAAGTAATCATCTGTTCTGTGAGAGGATATCTTCTAAACCATACTGATTGTTTAGGCCTGGTGGAGGACTTGCATATAGACCTAACTCATATCTGAATCTGAAATACAGTATTTGGTTCAGTAGATAATAACAATTCTGGGCATTTTTTCTATGTTTTTGGATCATAATGGAACAACTGGCAATTGTTTTTTCCTGATTGCACTGAGTATAACTTCTTAGTGTCTTACACAGTCATTGGTAAGTGATGATTTGGATGTTCATCCACCTTACAAAACAGACAAATTTCAGTATTTGCATTGAGTATGTGTGTGTATTTGTATATATATGTATGTATATATATATGTGTGTGTTCCACTGTTTACATAATAAATGTAACACATATGTATGTTCCACTGTTTATTAAATACATACATGTATGAATGTATTTTATAAACAGCAGAACATAATACTAAGGAGACTGGAAATGCTCAGCTTCAACTCTACTGGAATTAGGACTTCCTTCTCAGGAATTTCAGTTCAAGTCTGGGGAAGGAGGGGAATTTAAAGTCAAATTTTTTATCTTCAGCTTGTCATAAATTTTGGTTTAAACAACAAACAAACAAAAACAACAAAAGTCATTCAAAATATTTTACTGATTACATTTGACATGATTTTTTTACTTGCTAAATTAAACTTCTGCAGCAAATTCAAACCTAGGTTGTGTTTCTTTGGGACAGATGGATTCACCCATCTCACTGAACCCAGTATTCACTGGTGTTCATTATTCTACAGCCAAGATCTGGTGAAGATCGGCAACAAGTAATTTTTTCATAGAATCAACTTTGAATATGCCTGTCTCAGAAGCAGTGCAGTTACTTTTTTAATAAGTATCAGCAAGTGGGCCAATTGCTGTTACGAACTTCCTCAATTTTTTGTTTTTGTTCAAACAAAATTAAGAGAATGTAGTTGAGTAATCACTTTGCAGACCCTCAAGCCAGTAAAGGGTACCACTTACAAAGCTATAAACCCAACTGTTTGTTACTGCAACTCTGCTGGAGTGAAAAAGCATAGCAATTTGTTTCTGGTTAAATAGGATGGACTACCCATAACAAGTCATTTGAGTTAGCTTGGCAGATCCTTGTCTAAACAGAGAATGAAGCACCTGAATGAAGTGACGACTTCTGGCAAACAGGGACACTACCTGTATTGGGCAACATTGTTCATTTAAAAAAATTATCCACTACCATCAGAAGGTCACAAATCTGTCAGTCTGCCACCCAAAAAATATGTACTGCACAAAGATTCATGAAGTAAATATGCAGGAGAGAGCCGTCGCCTCAGTGTGTTGTGATGGGAACAGGTACTGTAATTAAGAAACCTGCTGGATGTACTGTAAAGCTTACTGGTTCAGAATCAAAGTACTGATCTTCTGTTAGCAAAAAATTACCTTTCTGTTAAGTCTAAACACAATTAAGTGCTTCCCTGTTTCTCAGTATATACATCAGTAGAGGAAAGTGTTACCAAGAGTAAGTAACTGGGAAAGGACAGTAAATCTACTTCAGGTTGCCAAAATTCATGTCTAGCTCTGAACTTAGTGAGACTAAATACCACACACCTGCCTTAACATCACTGATATTAAATACGGTAGTTGTTGTTTAATACACCTGTAGGGTGGAACTAGTTTCTTTGGCAATTCAGGCATTCTCAGATAAAACAGGATAGTGGTTCCCTTCTTCAGTTACTGCATTTTTGTATCATATTCTAGAATGCAAACTTTTCCTGATTATTTAACTTTGATCAAATTCCATTTATAATGGAAAAGTGAGGATGACTCTTACTTTTGGTTAACAAGCTACAGACTTTCATTTACTTTACTTTGATGCTATTTTAATTTTCTGTAACCAGAGGTATCTTTCATTTAGCTGGTTTACTATTATGCCCTTTTAAAGCAATTCGGTAGGCTATCACAAGATAGCTATTGACTGATTTTCTGTTTTGTTTCAGAGTGGCTTAACTTGATGCATATACAAATCTGTCAGCTTAGGAACCTGATGTACAAAAACATGTTTGACAGATACCTATCAGTATGCTTAGCCTGGCAATTTTAATCCCTTTAAATTACATTTGTTATTAAGGGCAAATAAAGTGTCTTTCTTGGGGACAGACATTAGCATATATGGGATTTCTAGAAATACTGTGGGGTATTTGTCTTTTGTGAATAATTGATTTTGGCAGGTGCATTCTGTTGGGCTTTTTTTGTTGTTACTTATTTTCATGTAAAAGCTAATTGTTAAATATAATTAGATTTACCAGCTGTGCTGGGTGAATTCAAGGATAGCTTCAGGAACACCCCAGAGCACCACACTATAACCAGGGTAGTGTCACTAGTCTGCCTGTACATTATGCTAAATACTGTTGAATCTAGTAGGCACAAATACTATCATGGGTCTGTTATTGCTATGGGAGACTGATGTTTTGTCCTGCCCAGCTCCATTATATGTCTCCCAGTATATATAATTCCAATGACCTTTTTGAAAAAGATGTGCAAAGTAGCCAGAGGGCTTAGAGTATAAAATTTTAGCAATGTAAAAAAAATGTACTTAGTCCCATCTATCAAGATAGCTTTGTCAAAAATGATATAAAACTAGCAAGACCACAAAAAAAAGTTTGAAATGGATGAAAGTATGTTTTGAAGGAGAGGATCATAAGGCTGATGTTTCACTTCCCTCCTTTTCTCTTCTAACATGCTCTTCATAAAATATGCAAATGAAATGACAATTAAAATTGAAGATCAAGGATGGCAAAATTGATGAGCAAAGTTTCACAAAGTCAGGCTTGTCAAGAGAAGGCTTGTCCAGTGATTTTGAGCATTGTATGTAGATACATCTTAGGGAAAGATCCAGACTAAGCAGATGCAGGTACATCTTCTCTCATACATGTGGAAGGATCATCATGAATGTTTGTAGCTAATGTAATCTGCTTTCCAGAACCAGCTCAGCTCTGCTGTATCTGTCCATGTGTGTGCATGCACTCTTGAGTCCTATACATTGATATGAAGTATGCAGCAGGGATTATTTCAAGTGGATTTGATGAGAATGAAGCCATAAATTATGTAACTGAAACTCTTTGTAAGTAGGTATTGTGCCAAACATTGAGATTTCATTTTTAACTTTCACTTCAGGAGGGGAGGAGGAAGAAATATTAGAGTATTTTCCAAATGAAAGTGAATAGTTTTCATCCAGTCACTAGTAAAATTAAATCCAATGACAACTGACATGTGCAAAATCCTTAGGAAGTGCTGTTGGCAGTCATTATAAATAGTAGTTCAGTGGGTTCCCTTTCAGCTTTGGGGGTTTGACAGTAGATCTCTACAGAAGCTTTAAGTTACTGTATTTCAATCTGTAAGTATAATTATTCAAATTTCCCTAATTTCCCCTTAAAAGCAGTCATTAAAATTTGCTGACATTTCACCCTTTCTTCAGGGAGCATGGCAGACTGAGGAAGCATCAGTTTTCCAGAATTTATGCCAAAGCAAAGTTTTACCTTACTTTCTGTCAAGTGGCTTATTTTTCACGCAGCTGTAAAGCAGGTGTCTGTATCTCAGTGTAACTACTGCTACAGTAAATTGAATGAGGCAA